ACCTTGGTTCTGCTTGGTTTGTCAGAACGTCATCCACCACAGATCTGTTTCGGTGCGATGTAATGGATGTAGAGAATGGGTGTACTTTAAGAACTGTTCCGGACTAAGGCGTTTGCGAGACTACAGCGAAAGGGGTTATGTTGCGACTTGATGCAGTAACGTAGTCCCCAGCGAGTCAACTTCTTCGTCGTCCTCATCAGAGACGTCGTCGGAGTATGGCACTCCACCGCAGTCTCCAGAACAGCAACCAACACCACAGCACCTAACGCCACATGTTGCTGTTCCAACTCAGGATTGTGCATCATTCTTGCAATTCAATTGCAACGGACTCCGAGGCAAAATAGATGAGATAGTGGAATTTATGAGTCGGAGGAATATTTTAGTTCACAGCGGTGAAGATAACCAAGCTGAATGAAAATTGCAGCCTACAACGTTGTTATGGTTACAACGTAATAAGGAAGGATCGCACCAGAAATGGAGGTGGGGGATTAGTGTTCCTGTTACACCATTCTGTTCAGTACAGACCTATCTCGCTTGAGCTAGTCTCTAGTGACCCATACATGGAATGTATAGGGGTAGCAGTCAAGTGTGGAACTGTCGAGGTAGAGGTGCTTAATGTGTATATCCCGCCGATTAATAGCTGTGAACCGCGCTATTTGCCTGATATTAGTCCATGGTTGGTAGGCAATAACCGCCTGGTACTAGGGGATTTTAATGCCCACGATGATTTGTGGAATTCCGCCCTAGGTAATGACCAAAGGGTTCAGCGCTGGCAGAGCAGATTGACTGATCCACATTCTGCACGGTTAACGAGGATGCCCCACCCGAATAAGAGGAGAGTGTCATAGTTCACCAGACTTAACCATAGTGTCACCCAGTTTGATAAATGACTGGACTTGGCAGCTCGTCATTTCTCTTCGCTCAGACCATCTCCCGATAATCGTCTCCAAAAGCAAGTCGCCCGAGTGAACGCTGCACTTTCCTTAACCATGGGAAAGCTCACTGGCCAGAGTTCAGAGAATTAACCAACCGCCGCTTCAGAGAACTGCCCAACCCTTCTGATGTTCGGATAACAGAAAGGATTTTCCGAAACATCATCAAAGCTACAGTCGCTCGCTATATACCTGCTGGTCGAATACCCGAGATAAGACCAAACTTCCCAGCAGAGGCAGCGGGATCAGTAAACGAGCGTGATGATCTCCGTCGTACCAACCCTACTAATCCTAGAATCAGTGATTTGACAGTGGAAGTCTACCGGTTGGTACAGGAGCATAAGAGGAAAAAGTGGCTAGAACATCTGAAGTGTTGCAACATTGGAACCGTAGCATATATATACTTTTTTTTTTTTCTTTTGTTTCCAATTTTCATTCAACCCTCTCTTACCACAAGTTTGTACTTCTTGAACTCCTTTAATACATTCTAAAATTGTCATCCTTGTCTAAAACTAATTTGGAATAAAATGGAATGAAATACTAATAATTACCGTGTAGAATTTATTTCATATATATATATATATACTAGCTGAACCCGGTGCGCTTCGCTACCCCTTTTGATTTTATATGCATTCAAAATTTTATTTACGAATATATGTTGGTTAAAAAAAAACAAATTTAAAAATTAAAAAAAAAAAAATATTGCACTACTTCAATGCGTAAATAACCAAAACCATTAGAATAGCAGTAACATGACATACATACACGAAGGGTTTGTCCTTCGGATTTATTTATTTCATAGCAAATACCTGCATGCTGCAATCTTTTGAAGTTGAGTGGCATTTCTATTGCAATTAGTGAATTCGAGATAGCAACATACTTCGCCGTAATAAGCGTATTTCAAATCAATTGTTGTGTTGTTTTTTAGTGTTAGCCTAAGGCGTTGTAGGTCAATGGTTCTTATTAAAATCATATCCCAATCTGATCCGATTTGAAATATAATTAAAAAAAATACATTTACACCAAACTCCGCCACACCTTTCATATTTCATTGAAGTTGGTGCGTCAAATATGTGAAATCGGCCGATAATATATATATGGGAGCTATATCCAAATCTTAACTAATTTCCAATTAATTTGTCACATTTATTATTGTAACCAAATTCCGCCACACATTCTGAATTTCATTGGTATCGGTCATATATATCATGTTTGCTGCATAACATATATGAAATCGGCCGAAATATATATGTTAGCTATATCCAAGCCTCAACTGATTTCAATATAATTTGGCAATTTTTTCTGGTGCCAGATTTTGTCTCTCTCGCTTTGGGTGCATCAAATATGTGAAATCGGCTGAGAATATATATGGGAGCTATAATCAAATCTGAGCGTATTTGAATATAATCTGTCAAATTTATTTTTGTACCAAATTCAGCCACTCATGCCGAATTTCATTGGAATCGGAAATACGTATCGTGTTTTGTGCATCAAATATGTGAAATCGGCGGAAAATATATATGGGAGCTATATCCAAATCTGAACCGATTTTAATATAATTTGACTAATTTATTTTCTAATCAAAATCCCGTTACATATTCCAAATTTCTTTGGAATCGAACATACATATCGTGTATGGTGCATTAAATACATGAAATCGGTCGAAAATATATATGGGAGCTATATCCAAATCTGAACCGATTTCAATATAATTTGACAAATTTATTTTCGGATTAAATCCCGTCACACATTCCAAATTTCAGTGGAATCGTACATTCATATTGTCATTGAAATTACAGATACATAGCGTGTTTGGTGCATCAAATACATGAAATCGGTCGAAAATATATATGGGAGCTATATCCATATATGAACCGATTTCAATTTAATTTGACAAATTCATTTTGGCTCCGTTACTTATTTTAAATTTAATTACAATTGGAAATACATATCGTGGAATTTCCACCAAATACATGAGATCGGCCGAAAATGTATATGGGAGCTATATCCAAATCTGAACCGATTTCAATATAATTTGGGAAATCAATTTTTTAAATAAAATCTATCACACGTTTCAAATTTCTTTGAAATTGGGGATACATAGCGCGTTTGGTGCATCAAATGCTTGAAATCGGCCGAAAATATATATGGGAGCTATATCCAAATCTGAACCGATTTCAATATAATTTGACAAATTTATTTTCGGATTAAATCCCGTCACACATTCCAAATTTCATTGGAATCTAACGTTCATATTGTGTTTGAGGCATCAAATAAAGGAAATCGGTCGAAAATATATATGGGAGCTATATCCAAATCTGAACCGATTACAATATAATTTGGCAAACTTATTTTTGTTCCAAATTCCGTTACGTATTCCAAATTTGAAGACTGTATCTTCAACCAATCAATAGATATGTGCATATAAAATCTAAATTTTTGGGAGGTACCTCCGATTCTGATGCTATATCTCCAGTTCCAAGTGGAAATTCAAAAATGTATATAGCCTATGTTACTTTCAGGCGATGTTGCAGTATATACGGACATTTTCAGGAAAATCTATTCAGCGGTTTTCGAGTCCATAAATTACAAACAAACAAACAAACAACATACAAACATTTTCCTCTTTTATAGATATAGATATAGATATATATATATATATATATATATATATATATATATATATATATATATATATATATATATATATATATATATATATATATATATATATATATATATATATATGTATATATATATATATATATATATATATATATATATATATATATATATATATATATATATATATATATATATATATATATATATATATATATCTTTCTTTCCAATTTTTATTCAACCCTCTCTTACCACAAATTTGTACTTCTTGGACTCCTTTTCTCATCAGTTGAAATAGAGTACAGGCTGATGTAATTGTTGGGGATATGTTCAGTTTTCTCTACAAATCTGCATAACAGCATTAATATTTTCAAGTCCTTTAAAAATTTATTTTTCACTCCTGCCGCGTATTCCTGACAACGCAATGTAACATCATGATCTCGAATTTTGCTTTTAAGAATGTTTTTTTTCCTTCTTTTTGCATTCGGTTTTAGGTTCGAAGAAAAGAGATTTCGGCCGTAGCAACCGATATTTCATCCCTTACTTCTTCTATATCCTATTAGGTTGGGAGATTGAATGATTTTTTTTTTTCAGTATACCATTCATCGTTGATTTCATGATTTCCATCAAATCATTGACCTTCATATTTTCTACAGGATTCTTTGCCATGTTTTCCATCTATGAGGATGTTTTAAACAATTTCCTTTTCGTTTGTTGAAGACTGTTAGGCATGTGTTGCAAACCTTAAGGTATTAGTTGAGTGGAGACTGTTATTTACCAAAGAAACAAATTATTTCTAATTAATTTCACCCGGGTAATGTTCTGCAAACAATCGCCGACCTTCGCACGTTTATAAGATCAGAAAAATAACCACCTAAACTAAGGTCACAATGAATTTAAATGCAGTAGCTTATATATAGAAAATTAAAAAAAGTATAATTGTTGATATTTTTTCCGTTAAAAAGATTGTATTTTTGTTATACTTGTATTTAATTTTAAAAATTTGGCACTGTCCAAATCGGACGTGTCAGGACTGTTGCACATGAGGAAATACATTTCATTTTTCTTCACTTTCAACTGTGGTGCAATAAATTATACAGTTGCAAATATGCTACTCACTAAACAAAAAATAACCCTATGTCGTTGAAAGTTTCCAAGTAAATACTTTTTTCACCAGAAATAAATGTCTTTCCTTAGTTAAGAAAAATGTTTTCTTTAGGAGCAAGCCCAAAAACGCCTACCGATATATTTTGTAAATACGAATGCAGTCAAGCTGTTTACGTATGTAAAAATATACTTTATTTATGTCGTAGAAAGTTTCCAAGTAAATACATTTTTCACCAGAAATAAAAATGTCTTTCCTTAGTTAAGAAAAATGTTTGTCTTTAGGAGCAAGCCCAAAAACGCCTACTGATATATTTTGTAAATACGAATGCAGTCAAGCTGTTTACGTATGTAAAAATATACTTTATTTATAAACTTTATAACTTATTTTTATTTCTTACAGTAAAATGTTCATACATATTCCTCCAAAGGAGAATTATCATTTCAAATACGTAATTATAGCTACATGTGTGTATAAAAATATGTTAATACCAAAATATACATCGCAGTTATACAGTGCAGGCAATATTATTGACATAAGTTTCTCTTAAAACAATTTATGAAAAATTCCGATTTTATTCATAATAATACATTTTATAACTTTTTAAATTGTTTTCTTGAAATAAATTCTACACGATAATTATTAGTATTTTAAAACGTTCATTCCAAATTAGTTTTAGACAAGGATGACAATTTTAGAATGTACTAAAATTTAAAGTTAATTATGTTATGTTCCCAAAAAATTATTTTGTTACATAGGTTACCTTTTCATTTCATTACGAATGATTATTTTACATCATTATTATTTCGAACTATGTTAAAAAATTCCAAGTTATCAATTTTATTAATACTATATCGTTATTTTCAAATTTCGATGTTTTAAGTGAATACGATAAACAAAACCTTTAGTTTTCTTAACATTTATAACTGCTAAAATTTTGTCAAAAGTAACTTGCCAATAATTTTGTCGAGCACTATATATATGTATATATATATATATAAATATATATATATATATATATATATATATATATATATATATATATATATATATTCGGTCTTCACAATGATTAATTTGTGGCTTCTTATAATAAATGGTATACTACACTTTTTTACAAATTTAATACACACTTTACGTGTGTATGTATCAATCAAATATGTATATTGCATATATAACATCTTTATTTCATATGTATTCATCAGTGCTCCAAACGTATTGGAATTGTGTATTTTCTTTTTTATTTGCTTCTAATTCTCTTTGAGTTCATGTTATAAACCCACATTCTTCTATGTGATTCTATGTCATCAATGTATGTAGTTCATATAAAAAATATTGTTATATATTCATATGTATAAAGACTTTTTGGCACTGTTATCGCGTACTTTTAAAGAACATGAACAGACACAAAAAAGATAGCGCCTACCTAACACTAGAGTGAATACTTCTGTACTACTGCAACATTAGTGCATTTAAGTTTCTTTGTAGGATTGTATCTTTTACGGAATTAAAGACAACGTTAATATTACGTGTGTCTATGGCGGTGGTAAAATGATGATATGTACGACTTTGTTGAACTTTTCGTACGCTCATAAACATTTGCAGGATAAAGTTTTGAACATCTAAAAGAGAGTGCGGATTTCCATGGAATTGGGGGTAGAACCAACGTATATCAGTCTCTGGGTTTTTGACTTTAAGCTCCAGTAAATCCATTTTGTTTAAAAATAAAATAATCGAGATACCTTTAAACGTGTTATTATTTACAATAGTATCAAAAATATTTCTGGACTCTTCCAAGCGATTTGTCATTCTGCAAGATAGGAAAAATTCATTTTACGTACTATCGAATTTCAGTTTAAATGTGGCATACCTATCTTCTGCTAAAACTTGATCGAACTCGGACGTCGAAACTAAAATATTATAGATGTAACTGACGAATCAAAACATCGTGTCCATTTCTGTCTTTGTGTTCGTTGTCCTCCCACATCTACAAACACAAAAGGTATGTTCTGTAAAATATATAGAAGAAAGATAAAAAGCATTATATTTTTTTATCTGCAGAATTGAAATATCGTGATATAGTCCAAGACCAACTTTTTAATCTACCATAAAATAAAAATGTAATGAATAAGAATAACACAGTTGTGTGGGTCAGTCAAAAAATCACAGAAAATATTCAATACTTAACTATATCTATATTATTACGACGCGTTAACAGAGATGGTCTAAACTTTATATTCGACTTACTGTACAAAAAAATCACCTTTCTTACTACGATAACACGTTTGTTACCCAAACAAAATTTTTAATATAAATTTCAATTTCAAACATTTACCATTTTTTACCCAACGTTTTTAATTTCAACATACGAAAAATTACTTTGTGAAATTTAAACTAGATCAATTTACCGTGTTCAAAATTGTAGCTTGTCGTGATTGCTGCAGAATGGTAAAAAAGGTCTGGATATATTTTTGTTTCTGATAACACAATTAATATTTTATAAATTAAATGCTTGAATTTGTTGCATCCATGCACTTTAAGATGAGTTACGAACATTAACAAAATAGAGAAAAATAAGAGATTAGATATGAAATATAAAACAATGAACAATATATGAACTGTTAAAAATTAGCATCATTAATTTTCGATTTTAATTATTTTCAGAAAAGGAAGTTGGTGGTTACGTGACAACGTTCTGCAATAACGCCTTCGTTTTTATCGTCGTTTATCGAGTCGTCCTCAGAATATGGAATTCAACCGCAGTCTCCTAAACAGCATTATATACCGCATATCGTTTTTGTAACCCAATTTCAGGGCACTTCGAGATAAAACTAATGAGAGTGAAAATAAGTTCAATGAAAATTGCATCCTACAACAATGTAATACTTATCACATATTAAGGAAGAATCGCACAAGAAGAAGAAGTATGGAATTAGCGTTCCTGTTACGGCACCCGGACATAATCCCCATTGCAATTATGGGGATTGTGACCGAGTAAAAAACTGTCATAATCCCCATTATTGTAATGGGGATCATGACACGGCACCTCCTGTTACACCATTCTGTCCAATATATATCTATCTACGTAAAGATCATGGAATGTATTGACAGCTGGTTGTTGTTGTTGTAGCAGTAGTACATGTATGTGTTTGCGTTCTGCTAATCTGGTTCCAGCTCCAGGTTTAGAAATTCGGCTACTTTAACGGGCTGTAGCCAGAGATCTTCTGGAGTGAAGCGTATTGTGTGGGCCTGTATCGCACGCCGGACAGGCGTCACGCACATCTTCATCAATTCGTGCCCAATACGAATTGAGACGACTACACAATCCTGAACGTAATTGCGCCAAAACTACCCTGGTTTGGCTAGGCAGCTGACGTTCTTCGGCTGCAATGGATGGGGGCTGGACTCCGAGGACGGCATTCACTTTATAACTGCTAATAGCATCCGCGACTGCATCGGTGTGAATGCCACTCAGACCTGCCTGATAGGCTTCTTGATCTAGAGGCTCTCTCTTGTAGCGCTGGACCTCCCTCTCTAGATCATGTATGTCCTTCCTGACACGCCTGGGTGGGGGAGAGTTATCCACCATATGATGGTTAGGATGACTCTCACGGTAACACCCAAGCAGGTACTGCAACGAAAGCATATGATTATGCTGACGTAAGGGAAGGACTTTCGCCTCCTCATGTAGATGGTCCACTGGTGTCATGAGGAGGCACCCTGTAGCAGTTCTCAGGGCAGCGTTCTGGCAGGTCTGGATATGCTTCCACTGCGTAGCACTAGTATTCGCAGACCATACTGGAGCCGAATAGCTGACCACAGACCGACCTATCGCGTTATAAGATGCCAACAAGGTTTCTTTGTCCGCACCCCAAGAGCTGCCGGCTAGCGCCTTGAGGACCTTGTTCCTACTTTTCATCTTGTCGCAGATAGCTGTGGCTTGCGCGGAAGACTTGAACATGCTGTCGAACGTTACCCCAAGAATCTTGGGGTAGTTCGTGGTCGGTATTAGATTCCCCTCGACCTGAACATTCAGCTGTGTTCTCATCTCCGCAGACCATGTGGTAAAGAGTGTGGCCGTTGATTTCGTGGCGGATATTTTCATATTCCTTGCGTGGAAGTATCCGGCAAGCTCCGCGAGATAGGGGTTCAACCTTTCGCATATGTCATCGACCACTGGACCCGACGCCATGATCGTACAATCATCCGCATACGTTACGATCTCAATGCCGTCTGGAGGGCGAAGAATTCCGGAAAGGTAGAGGTTAAACAGTTCCGGAGATATCACCCCGCCTTGGGGAACTCCCTGTTTCACTCTACGGGCTTTGGACTTCTCGTTCCGGAATTCCACGTACGACTGGCGTCCACGCATATAGTTGATTATCCAACGTTTCAAACTTGGCCGGAGGGTAGTTCTCTGTACGTCCTCAAACAGTGTGGCATGATTGACCGTGTCAAATGCCTTTGATAGGTCAAGGATTGGCTGCTGGTCATGTGTGGAGCTGCCGAGGTAGAGGTGCTTATTGTTTATATTCCGCCAGTTAATAGATTTAAACCGCATTTTTTCCAAATATTATTCCGCTTTTGGAAGGCAATAACTGACTGGTACTAGGGGATTGTATTGCTCACCATGAGTGTTGACATCCCGTTCTAGGTAATGACAAGACAGAGCGAATAAGAGGAGAGTCAAATGTAACCAATGTGTTACCCACTCTGATAAATGGCTTGAATTGGCAGCCCGTCATTTCTCTTGTGTCGAGAGAGATAGGGTGAATACAAGGTAGGGTACAATTACAAATTTTTTTACAATTAGTAGCCTCTTTTTTTTCTTTTAGTAGCCTCTTTTTTTCAGCCTGGTTTTTTTTTTTTGTAACTATATTTTTCCATTATTTGGGTTTTTGAAGCAAATACTTTTCATGTTTTGGCCGTTCATTGGCCGTTTGATACAGAATTATGCCAACATTGTATGTGTATGATCTATTTTAACACATCAACATTTTGCTAGCGCATCTTGCAAGTCATATTCTTCAAATGTTTTTTAGATATTTTTCAATTTTATTTTATTTTTTTTAATGTTTTGAATTTATTGGTGTTGTCACAAACAGCACAACTCATAATGAAATTAAATCAAAAACATAACAATATAATGGTTACGAAAACACTGACATTTCAAAGTTTTTCGGCAATGGACATCAGGTTTCAAAATTTATATAAAAGCAAAAATAAAAACGAATACGTTTGAAGGCAAACGATTCAAGTGAAAGCAACCTTAAAAAAAGAAAAACAGACCGTTGGTATGTGTTGTTTTCATTAATAAAAAAACGTGGGCCTATGTAGACAATTGTAGACAATTGGTTGGTATCTATTGCGAAACAAATTTGAAACATTTCTGTGGAAAAATATGACTAAAAAAATATAAAAAATATGACTAAAATCATCATAACTCTAACACATAGGCTGCGGAGACAAGAATAAAGCTGAATGTGCAGATCAGGAGGAACATAATTCCGACCACAAAACACCACATGTTGAGGTCGTGCATATCACAGCTATCTGCGGTAACTCTCAATCTGTACCCAAAACTATAAATTATATTTTGTATCATAATTACCTCGTCTATTTTTTAGGGAAGTAGTTCTCATTCTGTCATAAAGAGTCGAAGTTATTATATTTTTAATTATTGTCATTAACAGTCTTAAATTTAATCTTTCCTTTTTTATTTAACTTGTATATATTTATAACTAGAGTAGTTCCTTACTGTAAAAAATTCTTTGTACACGTTTTGGAGTGCAATTAAAATAAATATTTCAAAATTATCAGCTTCCCATCCACCATAAAATATGACATGTGCACAATCACCATAAAATATGACATGTGCAAACCAGTGGTCTTGTTGCGATGTTGCATACGATAATGTGTCAGATAATTAAGGTTATAACCCATACACATGATTTCATTGCGCTCAGTAGGTAGCCAAAACCACTTGAATGAAGGGGCAAGCAGTCCTGCAAATCTCTATTCAATATTAGAAAAAATAAGAATAGGTTAAGTTAGATTTGTTTTTGTAGTACTTAAGAAAAACATTTTTTAACAAGGACAAAAAAAGTTCCAACTAAAAACAAATATACGTATCTCATTTTGAAAAGAGGACATTCAATGGTCCTCCGACAAACAAGATGGACCACGAAAAAAGCTTCTTGTTCTTGGCAGGTCATTTCTGTGCAACATTGGCATCGGCGAGCCAATTTAAAACTATTCGAAACGATAATAATTAAAAAGTTCTTGTTTAAGACAAGTATTAGTCCTACAAGAGTTAAAGCTTTAAAAAGAACGTTGCCCAGACAATCCAGGAAAGTTCAGTAAATCGTATATGATCTGTGCGTTGTTGTGGTCGATAAAAAATTTGGGACATACATGTTCCTACTGACAAGTCCTTATTCAATGGAAAGAGGTAGAGCTACGAAAAGGCTAACATTGCATCTCAATTGGCCGAGTGTGCAGTCATAAAATGGAAAGGCATATACAAAAAGTGTGCTCGGACAATATGAATTTGGAAAGCCACAGGGAGCAGGGTCACCAATAAGCGAAGAAAGAAATCCTGTATATATTGACACTTTGCAGCAGCAGCTCGAGGAAGCAGGGGAAAAAATTAAAGCAGCCGTAAGGAAGATACTAGAAATTTTCAAAAAAAAAAAAAAAAAAAACCGTTGAAATGTACCACTTGAATGAAAACAGTTATTTGGGGCTACACGAAGACGAGGACCTGCATAAGTAATTTCAAAAGATAGCGTGATTGCATCAGACCGACGGACATCTCCAATTCGACTAAGAATTTTATGCGGATCCAGAATATATACAATTGGTAGGGTCTACTATGAGTATTATGAGAAGTTACAAACGGAATGACAAAGTTAATATATCCTCCATAGAATGGTGGAGGGTATAAAAATGTATATAGCCTATGTTACTTTCAGGCGATGTTGTAGTATACTTAGAAATTTTCAGGAAAATCTGTTCATCGGTTTTCGAGTCCATAAATTACAAACAAACAAAAATA